CAACGAGCACGTTATGCGATTCACTCGTCACAAGAATTGACTTTTCGATCATATCGATGTCCACTGATTTCTCGTCGTCGGTTTCGAGGCTGCGACACGTACCGAGATACCGTATCGGTTGATCGTAACCGTTGTGGTACGCCTTTTAATTTATTCATCGGCTCCCGGATTTCTTCAGTCGTATCGTTGCGGTGGGGGTGGGGAGGCTAGCTTTTGACCCGCAAAAATAATTATAGCCGTAATAGTAATAACGCGCACGTCATACGTCGCAACGATGACGACGGCGACGGCATTACAAATACAAAGAATCTGGCGGTGTAAGAGTGGAGTTGTTTTTTTTTTTTATTCGCGTTCGTACGCGTGCGCGCGGCGAAAATAAATCAAACGCGCCTTGGCACGTCGGCCAAATTTATTTCGGTTCCGTACCGACACTAATGTAGGCTATACGTGTACGTATTTCGTGTGTTTTTCCCGTTTCATAATGTATTATTATTTTCCTCTTCGTCTCGGGCGAAAAAAACAAACCTCGTCCGCCGTCGCGCCGGCCAAGATGACCGGAGCTCGGATTCACGGTCAATACTTGACGTATATGCCGAGGCGGTGGCGTCGTATGAAAACACACACACACGCACACACACACACACACTCAGAGAAAAAAGGAAAATAAAAAACCTTTTACTATATTTCTGCTATTCTTAGGTGCTAAGGGAGAACAAAATACACAACATTATTATAATAACAAAGAGGCGGCCGAGACGGCGACAGTGTTTTCGCGGATTGCTAATGTAGCAATCATTGGTCTCGGGATTTCATATACCCGTACATTTCTGACCTGCATTCAATAAAACGTAGAATCCGTGTAACAGTGTATAATTTTATAGAGTATAAAAAATCGCCCTATTAGCAGAGAAAAAAAAATGTATAACATATCTTTATTATTTCAATGGTACACGTTCATAGCTTTGACTTGATGAAGGCCAAGGGATATATAATCGTCAGTGATTTACTGGGAAATGTGTATTAACTACTATTTTTAGTTTCTATAGTAGTCTCTCCTGTTTGATTTTATTCTATGCCGCATAAGCACTTGATCGTTCTTAAAAATCTCACGTGCTTTTTCTCCAATGCGTTTATGATTCACGAATTGTTTGTATTTTCGTTCGGTCTTAATCGATAAGAATAAAACTATGAAGCCGAAGACCATTTTTTCCTATTTCAATAAGTAGTTGAACAAGAAAAAATTCGTTTTTAATTAATTTTTCGTCTTTTTCCCCCGCTCATGTGAATAAACGTAATTTATGTAAATTTATGTAATTTATGTGTACATACTGTCATTACGATTGATTAATTAGGGTACGTGGGGCGGACATTAAATCGTAATCAAACGTAAATCGTATAACTTCGAATGGCATACTTTGACTCTTTCGATTGTTGGTCGTTACGAACAAATCGAAGACGGTACATTTGCATCGCTCTTTTTAAACCTGTAACCGTTGGAAATCGTTGAATTTTTTCGTCTGCTGCGCACAATGAAATACGATCGATTGATCGAACGCGATTTAATTCATCGAAAGTTCTAGCACGTGCACAGAAAATAATTACCGAAGTTTAAATATAAACCACTAATATTTTAACAATTTACGAACTCTCTCGTGTAAAATTAGCGTCCGTTTCGGAATCTCGCATTGAAACGCGTTAAACATCCGCGTGCGCCGACCCGCTGATTGCTCGACGTTCGATTTATCCGCAAAGGAAGGGAGGGAATGTTGTTGGTAAAAGTCCAAAAAAAAAAATAAACCGCGTCTCCAATGTGTTCCAATTGATTTAAACGCGCCGCTCAACTGCTAATCGAAGCATTCCGGTACTATCGCGACCGACGGTCTCGTCGAGCACGTGGGAACGCGTGCGTAACAAGAATGTCGGTAAAATATCGAAAACATTACCGGCGAAGAAACCTGAAAACGCGTACCATTCAGGACGTGCATGTTTCGCGATCAAGTCGCGTCGGTAAAAGACGGAACGGAGAAAAAGGGGGGAAAAAAAAGTAAAATAATTAAAACAATACCGGAAAGAAGCGCGCGACACGCGACGCAACCGTTTCGCGAAGAAACAGATCGCGCGGTGACGGTGATGGTCGCGCGTCGTTTTGCCGTCCGGGCCGCGCGGTTTGCACACGACCATCGTTACGACATCGAATTCGACGACAATAACACGTTTTTTCGAGACACGTTACGATAACGAAACGGCGAACAACGCGTAAGAATAAATAAAAATATAAAACCGCGAACCGTTAACGGCGGCGCGTTTTTCGCGAAGAATTCTTACATTTCCTCCCACCCCTACCGGTCGTTACCGCGACCGAATCCGTCCCGTGGGAGTGTGCCCACTCGCGTCGCGATCGCGGCCGAATAGAAAATTCGCGATCGTCTATGTTTAGTGTTCTGCAACGCCGCCGTGCAATAGGTACACCCGGACGAAACCGCTGCCAACGCGCGCGCGCCCGATATTCTCAGTAAACCGCCGGTGCCGTAGACGTGCGGCATACACGCCAACCGAAAACGCTCGCGTTTCCGACCAGTGTCGCGGGAGACCGTGCGGAGAAATCGATGCGCTCGCGTTCATTTTCGGCGACGTTTGCAGCGGCGAAAAAGCGCAACGTTGAAAAAACCGCAGAGCTCGCCCCCGAGTTGCCGCCATGAAGGTACAGACCGATTCGTTCAGTTCGGAGAAGGTGCGTTTTTTCCGTTCCATTCACCGGTCGCGTCGCATTACACCGTTCGAAGGTTACGCGCGCGACGAGGAAATCGCGTCACCCCGCCGGGCGACCGCGTTTAGCCGCGGCAGCGATTCGCGTTTCAGCGTTTCGACCGTTTCTGTGATTGTACACGCGCGGTTGTCCACTGGCGATTTCGACGGGGGCGATTTTAGCGATTTTACGTCCATTTTCTGTGCCGCGCGTGTTTGATTTTTTTTTCATTTTTTTTTTTTTTATTCGATCGTCGACCGAGATGACGTGCCGAAAAATGTTGCCGGCTGAAAGCGCTGCTTTTATTGATATCAAAGTAAATTTGGTTGAAAAACCGTTTATGGGTTCACGAAACAAATAAGCATAGGCTATCCGAAGGGGGGGGGGTTTCATACGCTTTTAAATGAATTAAAAAATCGTACAGTCAAGTTTTTTCAGTACCGTCGAAAGCGTGAAAACCGACTTTTCGTACAATTTTGGAAGCTATAAGAAACGAGATCGAAAAAGAAGACGTCTATAGTCATTTTTCACGCGCGTACGGATCGACAGGGATTCGACTGCAGGTGGTACACTTATCGGCAGCGCGTGTTTGTTGTCGGCGCGGATGAGATGAGGCTGGAGTGTATTCAACAACGGTTATTGTTCCGTTCCAAGGCGGCCCAGAGGCGTAATACTCCGACGAGCGTCTGTAATCGGTTTTGTTTTTGTTTTTTTTTTTTTTTTTATTTTTTTTCTCTCTTCCCACTCGTCGCCGGACCGAAATCGCGTTGATCGTTATTTTCCTCGTCGTTTAAGGCGTGTTAAACGTCCCGAGTGGTTTCCACCACGACCATCGTCAACGCAATCGTCGTCATCACCGCCTTCGTTACCGTGCGTTGAACGTAGATTCGCATACATTATTTCGCATACGCATTATGTACACATCTAATTATTACACGGGCCGTGGGAACCAAGGCCGTAGGTAAAAACTACTTATGGGTCGGGGTCCGATGCGTTCGGGCGATAATTTAAATTTAACACCCTCCCTTGCCTACGGCCACTGATATGAATGTTAGTGTTCTAAGGTTTGAACGATTGAAATACGATGTCTAGTAACGAGTCTACTTACTCGAGATCGACGGACCACGTCAGTTTCTCGCGGTGTCGGAATTCGAAAAAAAAAACACCGGATCATCACTACGGAAGTTTATGGCGTACGGTCTGTTGTGAAAATTTTGTAAAACATTATGAACAATTGTCATCGTCAGTGATAAATACAGACGCAGTTTTCGCTTGTCGCTCCCAGAACAGATTGTCGGAATGCGCGAGAAACGAGCGTGACCTTGGGCAAGACCGAAGTTGTTGAAAAAGTTATGAATCGCATACATTTTTATTGCATAATCTACACATATGAAAAACGGCCATTTATACTACTCTTATTTAGTCTTACTTTTTAATCGTACTAAACACTGACAAACATCGTGAAAGAGAAAATCTAAAAAACCAAAAACCGTATAGGCAGTTACTGTTTATTAGTTGGACATTTTAAAATAGTACGGATTGTCAAAAAATAGAATGGGGGGGGGGACGTGCGTACTCGTATAATTCGATTATTCTGTTAGAGTTCAAAAAGTTTTTTTTGTTGTAAATTTCTTACAAAACTGTCTAATAAATTATTTTATAAATTGGACGGTGCAGTGATTATAGCAAAAAAAACACAAAACTCAAATAATGCCCTACTTCATATGATGATATTTTTGTTGTAGGTGGGTGGGCTGACGGATGATTACTCGTAGCGAATTATAAACAAAGTTAATAAGTTAGTAATTACTATCTTGTAGATTAAATGAGGTGTCTAGTTTACTTCGTAATTACTTTTCGTGTTAAGCTTCTAATCCAATCGTGTGGTGGTAAAGTCTTATAATTTTGCTAGTACGAGTTTTTTGGTTTCGGCGCCACTGACTAGTCGTAGTATACAGATGTCAATTCAATATGCAGATATCGAAAATCGTTGCAGTAATCGATGATCGATCATGTCGACCTCGACCGTGCCCTTGCAAAATTCGAAAACAAACCGACGTTACCGACGCTTGACGGCAAACATAATCAACGATCGATTCGTATTCGTAAACGTTCAAAATGTCCGTTTAGAAAATTTTATATTAACTTAGAAAACCGTATCCACAATCTACGCACTGCACGATCAGAGCGTTTACATGGAACACGGGTTCCATTCACTTGTTACCCGCCTCTGACCATTGTTAATCGTTTTCAGAAAGCTACAAGCGCACAGCAGCAAAGACAAACCATCACCTCGTCGGGAATGTTCAACCAAGAGAAACACATTGCGCAATCGTCGCAGTCGAACTTCACGTTCACTAAAAAAGGCATCAGCACGAGTTCACAGGCCGTATCGTCAGCTACTTCGCAGGTAATTATACTGCTTTATTCCCCCGTCAACGGGTCTCGACCGGGCGGCAACAGGACGAATCACGGCCGGCAAAAAGTCCCGTTCCAATATTTGTCTTGTACATCCGTTTCTTTGCATATCATCATTACACGCTACAAGATACTTTTGCACTCGTCACGTTCCGGTCACGAGAATCGTACACCGATATTGTTGTCGTCAAATCCCTATAAACCCGACGCATAACAAATCCGATTAACCGTTTTGATCGAGAATCCGCACCAACACGCCTGATCTGAATCGTGATTAGAATTTATTTCGTCAGGAGCCCTTACACCTTCCTAAATTGTCATTGTCGATTGTTATGCTCACCAAATACGTGTTCGGTAAACATTGATTAATCCTTTTATAATTCGACCAATTTATGTTGGTTTTTTCTGTATTGCAGTCGTCGCACAACGGATCGTCGTCCGGCAATGGTGGATCGTCTCCTCCGTCAGTGCACCTGATGGTGAGAACCGTTGACGATCTTCTGAACACCAGTTTCGACGATCTGGACCGGATGCGAGAGTTCGCCAACCCGACGGACGTGGAGAACGCTATAGCAAAGTACTCGAAGTACCTGGAAACCGCGGTCCATGGCTTGACGAGCGGCAAGTACGCTGAGGTCAGAGGTCTGACGATGCTCGACAAAATGTTTGAGATGATATGCAAAGCGTGGGCCGTGCCCACCTACGAGCTGGGCTACGCGTTGTGCAACACGTTCAGGGACTGCGGTGGCATGGACTTGCTGATGAACAATTGCGTATCCAAAGACAACAAGCTGCAGTTTTCCAGTGCCAGGTTGCTGGAGCAATGCCTGACGGCGGAGAACCGCACTTACGTGGTTGAAAACGGACTGGAAAAGGTGGTGAACTTGGTGTGCGAGTACAAGAGCCAAGTGAGCTCGGCCGATCAGTCGAAAGTTAGCACCGGTGAGAAATCATCATTATGCGTTGATTTATTTTTGTCGTTCATAAGACGTGCGCTTTGTATACGTAAAACTTCTTTAATTTTCCATCTTCCATACCCCTACGTGAACAACTAGCGTTTTGTGAACGTTTCTAGGTCGTAGCGTTTCATATGGGTAAAACGGTGGGAGATGTACACCAATTGAGCTGAAATTTCATCAGTGGCGGTTTTGATAAAACATCAAAGGAGGAGAGGCTATTTTCAATTTTTTGCTCCCCCCACTATAGTTACAAATATCAAATGAAGAATACAATTAAAATAGTTCTATAAGTAATGAAATAATTTTAATTTTTAATTTTATAATTTAAATAGTTTAATTTTATTGGAATTTAAAATGAATTGTGAAAATTCAATAAATTTGACTATAATCTGGAAAAACCCAATCAAACGCGATTAGTTTAACCTAATTCGTGATTCAAACAAGTTGTATTTTTTGATAACGTGTATTCGTCTATTGTTCTCAATTCAATGTTTCAAACTGATGCAAAAAAAAAAAAAAAAATAATAAATAAATAAATAAAAATATTGAAAAAACAAAAATAAAAGTTTGAACATATATCGTGAAAATAATACGATCTAACATGTCGGTTGATATTAAAAAAAATCCAAGGGGGGAGGCAGCGCTCCCTTTGCCTCTCCTTAAAAACCACCACTGAATCTCATTACATGCGTACGTTGCTGGTACTGGAAAGTAACTGCTGCTGTTCACGTCTAATCGAATTGTCGGTCGTGCGGTATCTGTACGGTACTATATCGGCGATCCGCGCGATGTGTATTTTTTTTTTACTGAAGTCGAGTAGCGAGTCGCGCGATCCTCGGACGATCCTGCAGAACACGACCAGGTCGAGGGATAGTAACGCGCCCCGCAGCGATACGTTCTCCCGGCAAGGATACTAGGGCTTCAAAAATAACCGTCAATATTCCGAAAAACCCTTGTGCCACAACACACACTCCTAGGCGCGCACGGAACGTCCGACCTATGTATTCCCGGGGGTAAACGTGAATACAATAAACGGCGTTCGATCCCTTTTTACAGGCATCTTGGAACACCTGTTCAAGCACAGCGAGGTGACGTGCAGCGACGTGATCAGGTTGGGTGGGCTGGAGGTGCTACTGTACGAGTGCCGACGGCGGGACATCGCAACGTTGCGGCATTGCGCGGGCGCGCTGGCCAACCTGTCGTTGTACGGCGGTGCGGAGAACCAAGAGCTGATGATCAAGCGCAACGTGCCCACGTGGCTGTTCACGTTGGCGTTCAACACGGACGACAACATCAAATACTACGCGTTCCTGGCCATCGCGGTGCTGGTGGCCAACAAGGAGATCGAGGCGGCCGTGCTCAAGTCGGAGACGCTGGACCTCATCGACCCGTTCGTCACCACGCACACGCCGTCCGAGTTCGCCAAGTCGAACCTGGCGCATGCACATGGCCAGAGCCACCACTGGCTGGAACGGCTGGTGCCGGTGCTCAACTCCATATGCGAGGAGGCGTGCAACCTGGCCGCATTCCACTTCTGCATGGAGGCCGGCATTAAGAAGCAGCAGGGCAAGACCAGCATATTTCGCGTCATCAACGCCATCGAGCCTCTGAAGAAGGTGGCCAGCTGCCCGAATGCGATCGCGTCTCGGTTCGCCGCACAGGCGCTGCGGCTCATCGGCGAGGAGGTGCCGCACAAGCTCAGCCAGAAGGTGCCGCTGTGGTCGCCCGAAGACGTGCGCGAATGGGTTCGGCAGATCGGGTTCGGTGAGGTGTCAAGGAACTTCGTGGACAGCCGCGTGGACGGTGACCTGCTGCTGCAGCTCACCGAGGACAACCTCCGCCAGGACATTGGCATCAGCAACGGCATAATGCGCTGCAGGTTAGCACTACCACCACCAAATTTGGTCTCCGTCGGTTTATTGTTTCCTTTGCCGATTTCACTTCTTTGTTCTTCTAGGTCCTTATCCGCTCTATCAATTTTTTTTCCCGTCCTGTAACCCGACCGGTTATTTTTTGATGCATGCCCTGGTGTCCCGGTTACAAACGTAGGTTTATCTTAACTTCATGTTCTCCCTCGTTGTTATTTTTGGGTCTGTGGATTCTTCCCAATATCTTCCGTTCAAAAGTCGCTAATCGGAGTTTATCCAATTTTTGTTTTGGCCCATGCACTACACTCATGGAGAGCTATTATTCTCACAAGAACTTTGTAAAGAGTTATTTTTGACTTCCGTGATAATAATTATTTATAATACATGGGCACATACGATGTACTAACGGTGCTGCTGAGGGTGGTAACATGGTGGGGTGAAGGGCTCGGGGCTTCCGGCGGTAGTTGGGTCCAATATGACGAACAACTGTGGTGGGGCTGCGGCTTCTCGGATGATCCCGTCGGTGATAGTGAGAAATTCCGAGGTGGATCGAACAACGTATAACGATGCGTTCCTATAGTTTATTCATGTTAAGCGGGCGAAAATTTAAATTATTCATCCAACAATGTTTGCATCAGTCAGTTGTTGTATGTCCTTGATGCTTCCATTTCAGGATGTCCAACAATGGAATTTGTAATGACGTTGAATATTTTTATTCATTTATTTATTTTTTGTTAATGAATCATCAATAAACTTAAATACTACATAGTTTGTAAAAAAACAATTAATGATTATCTGTCTGTTTTGAGTTACGCTTGAGTAAGAGATAACCCCAAAGCAGTAATACCAATAGTACAAAGTCAACGAATGATTGGTGAATGTTTTCCTAGTCGTCGGTCGCATTGATTCTCGTATGAGTTGTTATGGTGTTTTACAGGCAATCAGGGTAAACAATTGTTTTCAAAAAATGATAATGTAACGTTTTTCGAAAATATAATTCAATCGGGTTCCACTTCGGGACCAGTTAAACAATGTTCCGAGATAGATTTTCACGTAGAAACCATTGTGCACAAAATTAAATGGTATGCAAATTATTTTGTTTTTATGGATATATAATTGTACACGTTTGTATGCGTAGGTGTATGCGACGGTAAAAGCTACATTTACATTTATTCCACAAGTTTGAAATGTTATCTTGCGAAATTCTGATTTCTGATAATTTCTGTATCGTAATGTTGTTTCAATACGCTGTACCCCGTACTCGTATTCGAAGAACACAAAATCAATAACTATCGATAATCCGAATGGTTCATAATGTTATACGGTTTCCGTGTGATACTTGAAGGAAATTACATTTATAAAAGCGGAATAGTTAAAAAATTAAAAATATTTTTATTTTTTTTTATTTTTTTATTGAAATAAGTACGAATATTTGATCTGTACAAGTATCACTTTTCTTTGAAAAACTCAAACCGGGGAATCGAATTACCATAAGCTACTGTACGCATTCTAAACGGAAAATGTTGCCCCCAGCTCTCGCCCACGACGTCATACTTCGAACCACGTTATCTAACGGTTTACCTCTCGTTTCTAGGTTTATGAGAGAAATATACTGCTTAAAACGATTGGCCGACTACAGCAGCCGAGACTCGACCAATCTGAACTCGTTCCTACAGTCCATCGGACCGGAGTTTTCCGTTTATACGTATTCGATGTTGAACGCTGGCGTCGACAGAGATTCGATCAGGTTAGATATTTTCTATTTGTTATACTTCACTGGCGTTGTTTAGCGTAATTTGTCGATATCTCCAAAGCAATCTATTGTTTCGATTAATACGTTAAATAAAAAAAAAAAAAAAATGTTCTCCATCACTTAATAATAATATTTATGTACGAGGCTGATGAAATTTAACGTTATAATGTTAAACCGTTCGCCCGATTAAACAATACGTGTGTATGGTTATGGTTTAGGTCATTGTCGGACGAACAACTGTCGAGGGAGTGCGGAATCACGAACAGCATTCACCGGTACAGGATACTAGACGCGATCAGAGGTAATTATAATACGTTCTTGCGGGACGCGACCGGCCGATGGTCGTACTGCCGTTCCGCGGTCCCACGGACGAGTCTAACCGTTTTGTCGGGATTTTGCAGACATGGAGACGTTCATGGAAATGTCGTCGTACGAGGAGAGCACGAAGAAAAACTTGGACGTGTTCATCAGTTACAGACGTTCGACTGGATCTCAATTGGCCAGGTAACGGCGATTTGCAGCTACGCGTAGAGCCGCCCAGCGTTGTGCAATAGCTGAAAACGATCTAGATATAATACATTTATCCGTCTGCGCGTAGACGTAAATTCGATTTCTGTGGTATCCGTCTATCATGTCTAGATGATCTTAGGTTAGCATATCTAATCTACGTCCCGGATGATTTTCCGTTATCCAAGCACAGCGCTGTAGTGGCCGTACGTCGTACAGTAGGTTAGCCGTGCCTAGGTTGTACTGACACGACGGGTTTGCACTGTTTGCAGTTTGCTCAAAGTTCACCTGCAGCTCCGGGGGTATTCGGTGTTCATCGACGTGGAACGCCTGGAGGCCGGCAAGTTTGACAACAACCTATTGCAGAGCATCAAACTGGCCAAGACGTTCCTGCTGGTGCTGACGCCGAAAGCGTTGGACCGGTGCGTGGGCGACAACGAGTGCAAGGACTGGGTGCACAAGGTACGTCGTGTGTACTTATTTCGTCGTTCAACTCGTCGATAAAAATACACGTGACTCCAACCGTAATAAAATTATAATCAGAAGCTGAAAGTGTAACGATTGACCAATAAAAAAAACGTTTTTATATCGTAACGTTTTTTTCCTTCAATATTTCGATAAAAATTATATTCGTTGAAATCGATTAAATTGTAACAATTCTTACGGTCAATTCTAGGCGCATAAGAATCGGATTTATCAGAAAAAAATGGTTTCCTTACATTTTTTTAGTATTTTCATATGTTCGGATTATTCGTAATAATCATTTATTTATATTACGTATTACTTATTTTACGTTGATTACTTAATCATGCATTTTGCTTACCAGTATATTGCGAATTATTTAATATACTCCCGAGATCTTCACCAAATTTGGGACAGCTAATAAGCATCGTACAGAAAGCTTTTGATGACAAAGCGAAATACCAGCTCTACATTCATTCCAATAGTAGTATTAACCGTAAAATATCTCTAACCGTGTGACCCGGCGTGTGATTTCGCAGGAGATCGTGGCCGCGATACAAGACCAGTGCAATATCATCCCGATAATGGACAACTTCGAGTGGCCCGAGGCGGAGACGTTGCCGGAGGACATGCGCAACATATGGAAGTTCAACGGGGTGCGGTGGATCCATGATTACCAGGACGCGTGCGTGGACAAGGTGGAGAGGTTCATGCAGGGCGAGACGAACGGGATCCGGGACGGGGCCAGCTCGGGCTTGTCACTGAACCGGTCGGGCGGCGGAGGCCCTTCGACCATCAAGAGCGACCCTTCGGCTCCGAACACGCCGTTGATGATGGGAAGATCACCGCCCACGTACCAGCGGACCCAGTCCAACGACAGTGAACGGGACCTGAACGGTAGTAAAGATTGACTAGCGGCGAACACTTCCAGGTACGATGACGGCGATGCGGTTCAAGTTTTTTTTGCCACCCGAACCCGTCGCTCCTCGTGTCCGTCCGCTTGTTGTCGTATGCACCGATCCTGCAGCAGCGTGCGGCGATATCACGGCTAGGTGCGTAAAAGACGAAAAACCGTTGAAAAAAAAAAAAAGAAAAACAACGACCGCCCTCGGACGCGACAGTACACGTGTAAACTTACTTGTGCTTACTGTCACGCGTTTCGCCGCACGTCACCTGGCGCTTGTGTTCGTCTCCTCCAATCCGCCGCCACTGCCGTACACATAACGCCCGACCGAGTTCTTCACACGCTTCCACCTAACCCGTGAACGCCGGCATAGTGTAGTAACAACGCGTCGTTTGCAGATACCGGAAGTGTTCGCGACAACCGGCGGCGCGGAAGCCGCCCATGAGCCCGACGTCCGGTCACGGCGGCAAGAGCAAGAAGCGCGCCCGGAGCGTGGAAGGTCTGCTGGAGACGACCGCCGTGGCCGCGTCGTCGCCGCCATCGCAGGCGCAGGCCCAGATGAAGAAGGCCAGGAGCTTAGAGGAGTATCTGGATAGATGCGACGGGGACGCGGAGGAGGACGGCAACAGTGCGTCCGCGTCCGCCACCGATAGCCTCAAGAAACGGACTAACTTCGTGGACAAGTGCATCGTCAAGATGAAATCGCTGATGGCCGGTCACCGGCCGAAGGACGGCGGCGGCGGGGACTCGTCGAAGTGATGACTTGGCCGAAGTAACTTCGGGGGTCGACGTAACATAACCCTAAGAACAATGTAATTTTAATTATACATATATATATATATATGTTTAGTGTATATACGTGGTGTACATAGTTTTTACGTAGATGTAATGTGATTATCGTTTTTACATTTTTTTAATGCTTGTGTTCACCTACTGTTCGTACCTTATAATATATGTATATTTTTTTAAACCTCTAAGTACGTATTGTGTAATATTCGATTAGTCGTGAACGTTATGTTTTTTACACACGGTTCGATTGCGTTACACGACTGCGTTCGTCACATCTGTCGTAATCCGTATCGTTAAGCATGTCTTACCACGATCGTATTATTATAATGATATACATTATGTGCCATCCATTTTTGTCAATTTAACTCTTACGGATATACTGTCGACGTTGTGTGTATACTGTGTATACCGATCGATGAGAAGTGCATCTCGGCACGTTTTCGGCGCGCGCAATAAAGCGATTTGGTCACGGGTGTAGCAGGTTAGGTTAGGTTTTAGCAGGTGCCTTTCGTTTCGGACGCAGATCTCAAGCGGGTGTTGTTATTGATACGTTAGCCGATACAACGAGTTCGTGTGCAAGATCAAGGATCGGACATTCAGTAGGTGTACTGTTTAAGTAATCTCAACACCGCAAACCGCGTCGGTGAGACAAAACGAAAAATGTGTACGCTTGCTTCGAGAACGGTTCAGTTTTTCAACAACTGCGGAGTGTACTGCGAAACGAGTCTCGTAACAGTCGAAACTATGATCAATAGCAATAGTTGACCATCAATGAGGTTCACGGTCCACATATTTCCCGTGCTCGTGGCGGGAAACGTGAACAAATCGGACAAAATGTTTCGTTTCGACGCGTACGACAAATTATCTATTATTTTATCTAGATAGAAATATTAAAATATATATATATATATATATATATATATATATAAATGTAAACAGGTACAAAATTGTAATTTTAGTGCGTGTACCTATTAGACATCAACAATTTAATTATCACCCCTATCAATATTCTAAAATAATAAAACCGTGTAACCTCTACAGATTATTAGATTATTATCTATGGTAACCACAGAAATTTGTATTTTACTACGGCAGGATGTGCATAATATCACAGAACATGACGTTATCCTATGGTACAATTATATTGTTAATATATCGTTTATTAATTTGGACCAAGTAATTGATGAATTCGATTCGGAATCCATGGAAAGAGGACGCATCGTCTCATTTTGAAATAATTAAAAAAAAAATGTATTATTAATATTATAATAATCAAGATTTTACTGCTAAAATAATTCAAAATGTATTTATTATTTAAAGAAATACTTATAAGGGAAAATATATAGTTTATTGGATAGGATAATACTTAGGGAGTTGGAAAATTGAAATCGGCGTAGGAAATAATAGGTTGAGAATCAGTGTTGCTCAAAGATAAATAAAAATGTATTTAGATAATGATAAAAGAGAACTTAAATCTATATTGTCTCGGTAAAGATAAAAGATTTATGTATACACTATCTATCCAGATAAAAAAAAAACAACATTTTTTTTATTTTATTTTATTAACTAGTTACACATTTTTTTTTTTTATAAATTTATACTTAAAAAATTAAATTAAATCAAAATTAACTTAACTTCTATCTAATAAGTCTAATTTTTATTAGTTTTTAACTTCCAAAATTCAATTTTTCGACTTTTTTTGAACAAATATACTCGTATTTATTTATCTAGTTGAATTACGTTAGATAGAAAAAATTCATGTAAGATAATTTATCAGATAACTAATTTTGTTCTAGATAAGATTAAAGATAACTAATTATTTATTTAAACGATATATTAAGATAATTTAACTAGATAATGCTAAACACTGGTTGGATCGTATCATTTATAATGTACTGTAAAAGAACCCCGGACCGACATTTAAAAATAAGACTGAAAGACGTAAAAGGTTCAAAATAAAATATAAAGCAATATATAATTTTAAAATTGTCCACAATGTATATTGTGTACATTTGGAAATAATACAGATGTCAGATAAGACAACTGATAACCATTAGTTTTAATTATTATTTTTGAATCTAAATTCTGTAATAAGTAATTACTATGTCACCAATAAAACTATACAGAAACGCGACAAGCTATATTGGTGTTCCAAAATATTGATAATTTGTAAAATATAGTGGTGCACAGAACATCCAAACGGGTAAGCCCGTTTTATCACCGATCGGATCTTATCATGAAAAGCGTCAACGCTTAAATGAGGTTCAGAAATAAATATATACTATACAATTTTTAACTTTCTTTTTTTTTATTCTAAACAAATAATAACACTTTAAAATCGAAAAACATATCAATCGTCTCAAACAATTACAAAATATTTTATTGGTTATAGGCTTAACCTTTTTTTTTTTTTTCATTGTCATTTTAATGTAAAATGTATCTGCTTTTTATCTGGATGAATTATTTTAATTTCATAAAAATGTCGTTTATTTATAAAAATTTGCTGTCTATACAACAAACGGTACAATAAGTAAATGATTTAGATGAATTATGATTATCGTTTGTATTTTAAAAGAAAATCTAAGTTGAGCTTATTTTTTTCATTATCTAAATGGATTTTTGGTGTACCATCTTTATCTGAATAAAAACGTATTTATATGGATTCAACATTGACAATACTTCGAGCCCGGTCGACTCGATGATGCGATAGTCAATTCTATTGGATCGTGTGTTTAGCGATCGTGAATAAGAAGACGCAACGTCAGTTGTGTGAATTTTCGCATTATCAGTCGAAGGGATTTCACAGGTTCTCCTAATGCTTGGTGACCTCGTATACGACGTTGGGGTACAATGAATTATGTTTATCATTATAATATGATAAATGTGTCAGGGTGTCAGTGTGATTTTTTCAACGTTTATCACTAGTAATATTCCGGTCCCCTGGTGAGTTGTTGCGGACAATTATTTATGTCAAATATTTAATGCCAATACTGCTAGGTATTTCAGGGGATTAATGTCGTCAGAATATCAGCGATATCCGGCGGAAGACGAAAACGCATTTTATTCTAAGGAAATTCGTAAATCGCGGTTTCCATATCAAATTGACTATTGCTAACTGTACTGGTCATCGTCTAAAACAGATTGCAAAAGTAATATGTTTGAAAATCAGGCAAACCTGAAAATAGTAAAAATATCGCACATTCTTTTGAAACCGTTTCGAATTTAATCGATCGATTTATATTTCGAATATATATATCACGGATTGACTGATGAAATGTGAATATACCTTCGCCGTGTGTACGTTTCGTAATACGCCCAGGGCAAACCAATACCAAGTCAGTTATGCGGTAGACCGTTTGCTATGCGTAACAATTTTATTAGATATGTTATTACACGTACATCGGTGTTTTCTTCGGATCGCCATATTTCATGTATGTGTACATTTAGCCGCTTAGAACTTTTTCATCAAGTATCGCACGGAAATCCATCTCGGATCTGTGAACTCACCACCCAAGAGGAAATTGTTTATGTTGAAGAAGTGTTGTGTACAGGAGTCGTCAACAATTACAGGACGGCACGTAAAACGTGGCGATACGGGAAAACGCAGGAAATTCGTATCCAGGTTACAGGTATATAACCTGTAATATGTATATCGTTCGACGGTATACGTCACGCGTTGCGGTAAACGACATTCAAATGTTTTGTCCCCAAAAGTTTTTGTGTTTTATCAAAAATATTTGATATTGACTTGCTCTGCACTCGGGACACAATAAAAACGTTATATTTCCATTATTTCCGGAAAACCGAACAATACGTCGAAGTAGGATATGACATGTGCGTTTGCTCACACATACACACACACACACACACACACACACACACACACACACACGTATACAATATAGTGATATCCCTTTTCACCGTAATACATTTCCCTTTTAACGGAATAGATAAGGTACAATGACTTATACCTATTTTTCCAAAATAAACACCAGTTTAATCTATCACGTAACCTATCTATCTTGGTGATTTATTTACGTTCGTTTAACTTAGGAACGCAATACAAATTTGTTTCCCTCTCGAACCTCGCCTCGAGGCTCGGAAGTCGGCAACGATGCGCAGTAAGCAATTGCGCTTTTCCAATTTATTCGCTACACAATGGGCAAACGCACCCCCGATCCTGCCCTGTACCACATGTGTTGCTCGGTCAGATTATCGGATGACAACGGACAGCGACCGCGCAGCTGTTATTATCATTATTATTTTCATCATTTGCGGTAAATTATCCGATTGAAGGTTGACGTTGGTACAGTATTTGTCACGTTTCTCAGAGCCCCTCCCCCTCCACCGAGCCGAGTCCCAAAATGGAAAACGGTACTTTAATATATTATTATTATTATTGAAATTGTCAACACTTTCTCAATGATATTACTGAAGGTATATTACAGTATGCTAATTTTGTATCAGATATCGCATATTTTAACAGACTAGTAAATTCTACGAAGCGGTGAATACAATACTCTTTATAAAATCTTATTATATTTTACTGTATATGTGTTCCGAAAATATTGTAAGTCAGCGTTACATATTTTTATTAGTATCTATTTTTTTTCTTTCCATCAAACTATTCGTAGTCAATATTATTTTTTGTTAATCAGTAAGTATGCTTAAATTTAATTGTAAATTCGGGAGTAGCCAAATTGGTTCCCGTTAGAAAACGATGTTTTATTAAGGTACGCCGAATTGGCTCCTGTATGTGTTCAGATGAAATAGTTACAATTTTCATTTTCAAATACTATTTTGCGATATAAAATTATATGTACGAGTATGATACATATGTATGTATCAATGTATGACTTCAAATTGTTGTGAATCGTTCCATTCAGAGATAAATAAAGCGTTTACCAGCGCTCATTTTAATATATTTTACTATACGGAGACTTAGAACAGTATTCAAACATTAAATAATATTAAATTCCGTAGTAGTGATACGAGAAAACTTATCGAAAAATAAGAAACGAATAACCAATACTTAGAAAGCTGTATTACTGAGTACATTAATTGGAAACTTACACGCTTAGAATGTCTGGGGAAAGTTTGCTTCAAATATCAAGGTTTGTTTTGTAACCTAACCTATCAGTTTAGCGATCTTAAAATTTAAATAATTTTATCTTATATACTAAGGGAT